ACAAACAGTTGGGATAAACAAAATGCACCAAGACGTGGTCGGGACATCACTCGCCGGAATGACCGAAGTCATTTTGGTCTCGTGGTGCATACACGTGCATCTCGCTCGATAAATTGTGACGCAGACGCACAGAGAGAGAGGCCGATATTTCATCGGTGGACCGGGTTAAGGAAACCAGATTGAAAACTGATGCGTGCCTGCTCCCGATTGGGAATCACAACTATTGATGAAACATTCAGTCTGACAATTATCCTTATTCTATGCGTTTGAGCAAACGGCACCTTACTCGTACTCTTTAGGAATTTCCAGTTGAAATATGGCGAGTTTCAGTTTTTTGCCTGATCTGTCCAAGCGTTAGACGATGAGGTAGAATTGCTGCGGCATGGGAAACGACATGAACAAACGATAGTGTGGTTGTAGTTCAAATTCCTTAATATTTACTTCTCGCTAGTGCTATGGCCTGCATCCGTTCCAATTTTCAACTCTTCAGTCCTCTCTATCATTGATCGTCGCATAGTTTTCCCAATCCACTTCAGCTTCTTATATATTCTAGTGCACTGATTTGTACGGTTGGTGAATGATTTAGATGCATTCAATTGGGTTTAAACAGCAACTAGCCACTTTAAATGATCCTAGTTATGGGATTCATTACCTGGGAACCCGTTAATTCCTTACCAGCGTGAATGCATTCAATTACGATAGCACCTGGTACCTGTGAAGAACCGCCTATACCGATTGAACCAGTTATGCAAGGCATTGACTGTAGCTCACTAGCAAAGATGTTGGCTCCCAACCCGAAGACTGAAGGTTTGAGTCCAGGCAGGGACATAAACATTACGTACTGTTGACGAGTCCCAAGCAGAAAGAAACAGCTATCGACTGCTCTTTGTCAATCTTCCAATTAATTTATTATTTATACCAGCTGAAGTTGATCCTGGTTATGCATAGGTGTTCACTTTAGCCTTTCTGACAATTCTGTAGCGGGAATTGAAGTAGCAATATCTCGCGATCTTGTTTAATGCATGTACATTCACTCTGCTTTCATTAAGAAGATTCCCTCTCATCACTGAACACTGAGATTAATGCTAGTTTATTTAGTGCTCGCTTGCCGTTGTTTCATATTCTCTTATCATATCCTATTTGCACTGTTGCTCTCCTGTGACCTTTGCCAGGTTAAGAATCATTGACTACCGCGTTCATCCTCTATAATTGTGAGATTTTTATCGTGCACTACCAGACTCATCAGGTCGAAATTCATTATTGTAAAACGTTTTATTTTATTTTACAAGAACTGTCGTCTTGAGATTCAGACGAACACCGTTGGCCTAATTAAACCTATTACATCGACGTATAATTCTACTTCCTCTGTCAGGACTCAGTACACGTCATTGTATTGTATTTACTGATATGGTACTATTTTAGGTGATACACTGAATGGATCATCTGTGGAATCCCAATACACTGCTTTGTGCCATATGGGTGTCGGGAGTAAACATTTTGTGTTTTTTTGAACTCGAACATGGAAATTCAGAAATCCCCGAACATAGGACTCGTAATGTGTGCTGTAGGGGTAAACTGGATTATTCTCCGAAAAACCAATTCCTTCATTTCGCATCACTTAAAACTCATTAGCAGTCAACCATACAACTGCCTATTGTTTGGTCAAACAATAAGTAAAACGCTTAACTTCTCTGTAGCAGCCCATCTGTTATGGATATGATTGATATGATATGTCTTTTTTACTTTCTTTTTCTATTCATTGAAAATACAAATGTACAGTCAACTTTCGGGAAGGGGGCTGCGGTCATACAAAGGCTGTCTGGGGAAAATACAGATATGGGTAAGACGGGCGGCGGTGGAGGGGTTTGAAACCGGCACATCCAGGTCACTAGTTGGTGACCTAACCACTTGGCCACCCTAACTAAAATGTATGCATAACAAATTAGCAAGGGGTGAGACCCACTAAATCAAGAAACAGAACCTCGATGTTTTATAAACTCCGGTGGACTGTAACGAGCACATGAATAATTGGTGCGTCCAAAATGGGTTCGTTGGTCTATAACTCATGAATTTTGTACCATGGGTTCACCATCGAAACGAAACACCAAGTTCGTTTGCAATTTGACTCAAAGCTCGTTCAGCACTGATCAAACGGGATCATGTTGTCCGAATAGAACCTCCAAACTACTGGAAGAAAACTGAAGTCGAATTTATGGATATAAACAAAAACACGAAACGGTCCCATTGATTTGTTCCTTCGGTTTCCGTTTTTTTCAATTTGAATAAAAGTTTGATTTGTTTATCTGGGGCTATCCCCAAAAACACATTTATCTCTTTTCACTCTCTACTGACAAGTTTAGTTCGTGTTACTTTGAGTGTCTGAAAACTGAGGCAAATAGAAGGCGGTACCTCTTCTCTTTTTGGAACAAGGAGAAACACATTTATCTATTCTCTTTGTCCTGTTCTCACTCGGGCGTTCTAAGACAAGATGTGCCGCAAGCAGATCCGTGCTGTTAAGATGAATGTTTCATCGAGTGTGCAAAAATAATCTTTTACATGATTGTTGGACAACACAGTAAAACTGAAAAATCTACTGTTTTTTCTTCTATGTTTACCAAAAGACCGTTTGCGAATCTTGTGTTTTTTCGTTGTACTCTACGTATTCTTCACTTTTGCGGAGAGGAGCCAATTTTTAACGCTACCACTTCCAGTTCCATCGATATCCGGAATACTGGGATCTGTCGTTGAAAAAAACAATACCGTATCAACACCGTGATGTGAAACCGTCTTATTTTGCCGACAATCCATGCGGCCACGAAGCGGATGGAAATGAACGTTCACAACGAAAGTCAATTAAACGCAACATCCTACCGATTCAGTTATCAGCGATTTGCATTCTATTTAAATGCCTGTTGGCTAAGGCGGTGGGTAATCTTAAAAAGAGCACTCCTTGCAGCAAGCGCATATCGTTCTGCTTGTCGGAACGAGAACTCCATTTGAAGTATACCCATTAGTCAAGGAAACTTATAAGCGTCCGAAACAAAAACTGGTGTTAATTTGTTATGGAACAGATCATTACATGGTTTGACCAAACTCGGACAACACCCTGACTCTTTTCCTCCCCAGGTTTCGGGGTTTCGAGCTTCAATCACCGGATTGAATATGTTATTACCTCTCACCGAACGCAACATACCTGTAATAATATCCACGAGTGTTTTTGCTTCCATTAGTCGGATGCCACTTTCAGTCCATTCATCACTTGATCGAGTCTATAAAATTGTCATTGATTGGCTTGTTTACTGTGCATCGAATTTTTTAAAAATGATAAGCCATTTAGAATACGTTTATTAACCAGAATATACACCTTAATGAAATTGTAACCATTTATTAGAAAGAATGAACTTCTATGCTGTTTTGCATAAAATATTTTTCAATTATGAGCTGGAACTTTGAACTCGTACAACAAGGTCGCGCAAATTCGCATGGTGATACAAGAGAACTAAGAATATTACAGTGGGAGATAAAGTTCGGAATAAATACTCCTCACCCATAGCTATCGATATACACGTATAATAATGAAACCTGGAATGTACTTCCAAATCAGAGCCATGTTGCACGAGTTCGATCAACATATATGTTAGTATTATTATTATTGTTAATGCACTCATTTGTTTTTCATCAAAATTGCAATGTTCTAGGATGGCCGTATTCATTGAATATCATTTAAGAAAGACATAGAAATTGTTTTGTTTGTTTGTTTGTTTTTGCCGTGAAGCGAAATAAGTATTCACTGAAATATTTTGATCGCTACTAAATTTTGAATGCAATAATTTGATTTGGCATGAGAAGCCTAATTTCAGTGGGGAAAATGCCGGTTTCTAAACGTTTTTATCGAAGTGGAAAGAAATATATAATCTGTATTGCCGCTTCTTCTGACCGTCCACCCCCTCTGCCCTCGTCCACCCCTCCCTTCAATCCTTATCTTACAAAATCTATCGGGCACTTACGAGGGCATATTTGATGGCCTTTCGACGAAGCAAATGACATCCGTGTTGATCGCCCAGTCGCGACATGCCAAGACAGTTGCTTGCGTGCAATCTCTTGATCAGATAACGCTCGCATGCCTGAGAGGCTTCCACAATTTGCAGGAAGCAGGCCGCCTTCAAAATGTCCTCCACGGTATCCTCTCGTAAGTCCAAATATCCTGATGATAAAGTAAAACGCAAGAATTACAAACTGCGACATTTATGTTCATTCTTGGATAAATACAGTCATAGAATGATGACTGAAAATATATTGAAACGATGTGGTGTCAGAAAATAATTGTGTTGCTAGAGAAAACGCCATCGCAGTTTATTGGTTGAACCGGAGTCCAGGAGCAGATTGTTACTTATTAGATAAATTTTCCACCTGTACACCCTCCCAGGGGAAAAGTACACCGTTTACTAGTTGGCTCCATTTCTTGTCCCCGTATACGTTCAAGAATCTTTGTCTGTCGCTCTTAAAAGGGTGCTTCTCTAAATTTTCTTGTTTTTCCTTCACCTGACTGACTTCAATCCGTTTCAAAAAAGACCACCTTGAATCAAGAAAACTAATGTCGAAATGCCGACAGAACCCAACTTGCTCGCTTGCTGAACAACCTTAAGTGTATGCTATTTATCCGAGAATAACCCCATGTGCTATTTATGTGCCTGTTTGTTTTAATTCAATGATTGAAAGATTAAATAAAAACTTGACATCTCGCGACATTTCTCTTCTTCTTTGTATTGAACCTGATTGGATGATCGCAGAACGTGTCAGCCGATCGATCAATCGATATGTCAAGAATGCAATCTGATTGGTGCGTCACTGCGCCGTTCTCGTATGGGTGACTTTACTTTATTTACTTTACTTTACTTTTTTATACTTGCCTATTAAAATCTAATCAAAAAAATACCCACTGACTGTTGTCTCAACCTGTGTTGTCTTTCCGTGTTATCGTGTGGGGTTAAGCAACAGTAGCTCATGTCATTCGTACATCTAGTCCAAACGCAACACCATTCACCAATCGAGAATGAACTTTCAGTAAAGTTCTTTCGTGAATCCCTCGATTGTAAGTTAAAAACCATTGAAATTTTCCACCTTTCCATCTCCCGATATATAGTTTTGTTTTAGTTTCACCTTATCAGTCCATTTCAGTTTCAAGCTCCTGCTCCTCCCCACACCTATTAAAAATGAATCTATACCCGGAGAAAACGGGAAGGTAGCTCTACTTTGTGGGAATAAACTGGATTAGCACTTTCTCCTGAGGGCAACGATAAGATACGCATCAGATCCATCCTCTCATGATCGTATTTGAATGACGCACAGGTACTGGTTAACCCTGACCGCAAAGTCAAGGTATAGCAGGTACCTCAGGCACCACCAGAGAAGCTTGAATAAAAAAAACATTTCGAGGCTGACAGCGGAGTAGAAATTATTTGCACTTTATTTTGGGACAACACAAAGAAATCAGAGTATGATAATTCCGGCCGGGGCCACTGGAAAAAACTGGTTAAGATTCGACCGAGATGCAATCACCACAGGCAAACACACATGCACACCTGTTGTTCTCCAGATGTACTTATTTCATTGGGGCTTGGCACAAAGTTCGTCAATCCCCATTTCTCATTAATGAAGCTCCGTGCACTCATGACCAACAAAATCATGCACAACTGTTGATAACTTTCCACGAAACTTCAAACAAATCAAGTTTTCCGATGTCTTCCCTCCCCCAAATTAAACAATTTTGTCAATCTGGTTTTCGTAATTTGAACTAATAAAGTGTATTGTACACCGCTCCGCACGACCCAAACCTTGGTTACTCCGAATTCTATAAGCGTGGTTGGATCCATTTTTGGCTAACAAAATAATCATCGTATTAGACTAACGTGTCATAAACAGCCACAGTACCCCAGAAGAGCATCGAAAGCTGCCAGTAATGAATAAGCACCGAGTCTTGGACAAATCTGGACAGACAGGATTGTCAATCCCATAAAAAAGAAGCGAAATAATTCGTTCGAAACCCCGATATTTTCGGCCCATTTATGATGCATCAAAATAACGTCACGGATTTCTTCGTTGTTTTTCTCGAGATGTTCAAAACCCTGAACCACTCAAGTTGATGCACGTTCCATCGTGTCATGTTGGTGTGAGGTCAGTTTCGGGAGCCAGCCCCGGCAGCGTAGCGGTTTCAGAAGGGAACTACAATACTGCATATCAAGTTTCAAGGTAGAAACCGGTTCGGGGAAGTTCTCAAGCGAAAGATTTTGACCTAGGACATATATTGATTTCAAGCCCAGTATCTAAAGGCTAACTACTTTTGATAGACTAACATCTGAAGATTACAATTTTACCCAATGCTCAAAGTTTAGCTATATGGTTAATTTTGTCGGGGACAGAACAAATGAAACGTGAACTGGAAATCTAGGAAGCTGTATACAGTTGTTTCGACCTTGTTGTGTCTCATCAGTACTGCAAATGTATCGACACAACTGAGGGTCAAACCCGGGAACTCACACGTATAAAGGCAGCATACCACTTACGTGGCCAACATCCGGATAATAATTTTTTTTTTCCGTTCAATTCCTCTTTGAAAGCCTGTTGTTGGATTCGAAACAACTGTACAGCGCTGCCTAGCTTTTCCGTTCACATTTTCTTCGATCTATCTATACATTACGAAATTCACCATATGATCGAATCCCACCCTCCACGACATTCCTGTCAGAAAGAACTTGACTGCTTCCAACACAGTCGTTACACGTAGTCTGTAGTTCTGAGACGATGTTACGGATTATTTTCCCACTCTTTCTGCTTCAGTCAACAAACGCTCATTCACCATGTCTGTTCACGATGCGTGTGCTATTCGCTTCCATTACTTTGTTCATTTCACCTGGTCGCACGCTGCTATTGAATCATGAAGACAAACTGATGCGAATCTGTTTCACGCAAAAGTGATCTCCGGTAAATATATATATATATATATATAACAAAAGATTACCGGATACGCATGCCTGACAAGCGGCAAGAACCGCGAAACTGGTCGTGTGCTTCCAGGGAAACTTTGACCAGTCATACTACTTATTATGAAATAAACATATACCGTTCTCAATGATGGCCACATTTTCGCCCACTCACTGGGATACACGGGATGAACAAGATGGGTTATTTGTTTGCATCTTCCAGGTCACATGCTGTCAGGACTTGCTGTATTGATCAATGATACTGCACAGACTGGGTGAAACCGAGCCTGTTGATTCAATGCTGACAAGCATGATTGCATACGCTTGCAAAGATCAGTTCCTAATTTATTCCCATACTGACACGTGAGGTGAATTTTGATGGTAGTTACTAATGTCCGGACTTGCTGGGGTGTGAAACTAGTCCCGTGCTAACAATCAATGGGAACGCCTCGGGGGTTTAAGTGGTCACACGTTAATTTTGGAGTTTCTTCAAAACTGATTCATTTGTGTCACGTTCTGATTTGATGTGTGCAACTTGCTCGCCTCATTACCGCCTTGTTACTGTTTCCCTGTCCGCTTCTGGTCTCGGCCAGCGAACTGATTCTGTACTTTTCGGTTGAAAGCGCGCATGTGTTCACGTGATTTGATGAAAGGGCACAGTTGGAGCGAGAGAAATTCCGAACATTGTTTTGCTACTTCACGAGCACTGACAGTGCACTTGATGATCCATTTGTAACCCCCCCCCTCTAGATATGTTCATTTTAGGTGTAACATTGTCGTTCTTTCAAACTGTCCCAATATTCACTCGTATTTATGCCACTAGGGCTAACATGAAACGTGTGGTTCTCGAGCCACAATGAAAAGGAATGTTGAACAAGTAGTCTACATGGCCGCCCAACAAAATCCCAGTTCGAATGCAATGCCTCAGGTGCCGACGGAAATGGTGAAGTATCAACTTCTGCCCTTTCGCCTAGTCGGTTTTAATAAATCTTAGTCATCCGAACTGTATTCAAAGCTTTGAGTTTTCAGATCATTTGCGGTGACAAGCCGTACAGTGGGTGTGCGAGCCTAAACGTAAAGAGGGATGTAAAAAAAGCACAGTACACACAAATATGTAAAGCGGTCGCGTGTGGTCAATGATTTAGCACAGTGAAAATTGGTAATATGTACACCAATTCTCTCATCTACATATGAGTCCAATTTAATCAATATGTTAGTGAACAGAGGTTTCGTTTCTTAAAGGTCATTTTGTAAATCGTTCAAAAAAAAGCTAACGGTTCTCCGGCATTTTACTTCCATAAGAAAACGGCTATGATAAAACTGCTCATGAGTTCGTTATTTTTGAAGCTAGTCGCATTTAACTTGTTGAGCCTTGATGTTTACCTCACACAAACTAACAGGTGATTAGACTTCGTTCCTAGACTCCATCCAAATCTTAGCCAATACATTCTTGGTGCCTAGTCTGTATTGTGCTGAATTCAACTCATTCTAACGATTCCAGATCCATCATATTCACTGTATTCTGTTTGGCCTTTCCCTGATCAGAGCAGCAAATGAAAAAAGAATACAACTGCCATCTTTTTGTTGCTAACTGAAGAAGAACGCAAAATCCGTTCCGTTGTATTCATCAAATCAAACCCACAGAACGTTCCCGATCGAGCATCAGGATTATTGGATTATTTTGAGTTAGGGGTTGAAAATATTGGGTCGATTTCCGATCCTTGCTCAGCTTACTCATTTCAAGTTGGTAGGAGAATGCAGAGGAGTTTTTACTGTGAGATGATACACTTGTGAACTGAACAAAAATCCAAATACAGTTTCCCTATGTGCTGTTTAGAAAGTCGAGAAAACCAAATAAGCATGACATCACTTTGACATTTGTTTTGTGTATCCATAAGCCTGCATAAGCCTGAAATGTGGTAAACAAATGCACTCTGAATTCATTTTTGCATGTACTCGTGCAGTTCAAACATTCATATAATCCAAATATACGATGCAGTGTAAACGCCTATGGAAAAAAAACACCCGATAGTCGTCATATGTAAACAACACAAGCTGTGGTGGAGTTTGATCTCCGAACAAATGGGAGCTGCACTAACCAGCCTCCTAATAGTTCTATTTCTTAACCAATATTTTGATGGGCTACAGTTAGATGTGTGAAAATCGACTTTCCTGCTGCTTACTCAATAAAAGTAAGCGGTGGATTTTGAAACAGGCCAAGAAC